AAGAAAACTATTTGCTTTTGGACCAGCACCAAGATAATAAACAGAACTGGTGATCCAGCGCCCCACACTTTCGCTAGACTTCCTAGGTTTTTATCGCTTTCTTTGTGACCACTGGGGACATCTCCCCTTATTTCTTATTCTTCTACTGATAATTGGTAGCACACAACAGGAGGTCACAGGGAATCTATCCAAATTCCTAACCCTATACCAGTCTCCTATTATAAGTGTTATTATTGCTGTGTCACCGTTGGATAATCCCTGTCCCAATCCTAGTCATCAGGAAAAGTGAGGGAAAAATCTTCCCAGCAGAAGAGAAAAAACTGGTAGAGGTTCTAACCTCTCCCTACTCTATGCAACATTAAAAATGATTTGTCCAAAGTTGTACTTTTATTACATAATCTAAAATGTCCGAACAAAAATCGGAATAATAAAAGTTTAAAATACTCTATCAAATAAAATCTGTATTAAAATGAAAATAATATACAACTAAAAAATTATGTTATTTGAGGTAATCACATCCAAAAAGACCTTAGTGATATCATTAAAAATAAAGCCTAAGGCATTAAATGCACATCAATTTAGTGAATGCCCTAATAATTTCATTTTGACTCGTCCTGCGCTATGTGCCTATGGCCAGTTTTCTAGCATATTCATCCATTTGTGGTGTGGCCCTTTATTGCTTTTGTCTATTGAGTATTGCTAGGGATTTTCAGAACATGAGTCATGGAATGCCTCTATTCCCTTAAGGCTTTCCTTCACTAGAGTTCCTTGTCTTTGTAGTTTTCGCTGGCTCCTTGAACCAGTTACTGTAATGTGCAAATGGATGTTTTTGGAGGACTGTGTGTAAAATACCTGGGGAGAAAGGTCACAGATCGGCTCCTGTTTTTCAAGGAAATTGATCCCTTTCATTTTGGCTAGAGTAATTCCATTCAGAAATGTTCTTCAGCTTTTTAACCTATTTATTCCCGGTTTGCAGCCTCCTGCCTATTTTTTATATGTAATGTGTGCGCTTCCTTATGGCTTTGTTTGTGGCTAATCCTGTGAATCACCTCTGTAGTTCACCACTGGCTTTTAGTTCACATGCCTCTTTCCATCAGGTTTTCATCAGTCCCTTGATGTAAGGAACGCAATCTAGAATTTCACATATATTGAACCATTTAACTATTCACAAAGAATGCCACTGGATAGCCTTCTCATGTCTTTGTGTTTTAAAGTGAGGTAACATGCAAGTTAAAAAGAGTATTAGAAAAATCATGTGCCCTTTCTTTTCTGGAAATTAATACTTTTAAATGACATGATAAAGCAAAACAAATTGGTATATTATACAGGTAAAGACCAGAGGAATTTTATCAGTTGGCCATTTCATAGGTGCTTGTGTTTTAAAGCAGAACTAGACCCACCAATGTATGTCTCCCAAAACAGTTACTTTAAGGCTGGGTTTACACCTAGGCCTATTGAATATGCGCGTTGGTCGCGCGGTTCGCGGCGCACATTTTTATCGCGATTCGCGGTAAAAAAAATGCGCGACAAACGCGCGTTTACGTGGGCTACTTGGCTGTATCCTAATGGAAACACGAGATCAAAACGCCCCAAAGAAGTACATGTACTTCTTTGGGCGGAGGCCGTTTTGTATCGCGTTCGGACGGGCAGAAATACGGCAAGGTGTGAACCAGACCCATTGAATACAATGGGATTTAGATGTTTAAGCGTTTTGTAGAGCGTTCGTCGAGCATTGAACGCGCTACAAAACGTTCAGGTGTGAACCAGGCCTTAAGGCAAACCAACAGCCAAGGTTGTCACTGCGCTTATTTCAGCTCTCAACCAAACTTTTAAGCCCTCAAATGGCTGGTGTCATAGCTGATCACATGTGCAGCACCATGGCAACTGCAATCCAAATAGAGGCTAAGATGGCACCTTCCTTGGTTGTAAAGAATAGGAGGTTGTAGTTCCCCTTTAAGTTGAAAACTTGCACAGGTTCATTGGTAATTCTATTGCACACCTATGCAAAATTATGTCGCTTGACAACCTAACATTGCAGCTCAGGGGTTTGCAAACACAGAAAACTGAAGAGAAATCCTTTGCTAAATAAGGGGTGGTTTGATTTTTTAAACTTGCATGATGAATCTCTCTCCTTAGCTGGGTAGTCCTGCCAAGCAATTTAGGAGAGGTGCCTTGCTGTTAGTCCCTGTTCACAGCTAGGTGTTTTGTTGCTCAAAGTTAAGCGCGACAAAACGCTCAAGACAAGGAATCCCATTCATTTTTATGGCCCCTGTTCACTTGGCCCCTGTTCACTCCTCAACGTTTTGTTGCAAGCAGAAAAATGCCTGTCCCTGGAAAAAGTACATGGGCTATTTTTTGGCAGATTACAGAGCTTTTTGGTCCCATAGACTTCAGTGGGAAACTTTGTGCAACAAAACATGCAACAAAATGCTCAGGTGTGAAAAGGGGCCATAGAAATGAATGGGATTCCTTGTCTTGAGCGTTTTATTGTGCTTGGCTTTGAGCGACAAAATGTCTAGGTGTGAATGGAGCTGACACTGCAGGGCAGGTAGATAGATGCTTGCAGACTGTACATTATGGGGCCTAGGGCAGTTGCCCCTTTTGCCCTGCTGTAAAGAAGGCTCTGGGTGGGGCACCTGCTGCAGATTTCATGCATGTCTACGGACATTTTACATTATTTTGGTAAATTAGCCTTTTATACTAGTCATTGATAACTGCCCTTTCCTTTACTAAAACTGAGATATTTACGCATTCTTACAGGCTAGTCTATTTGTATGCCAAAAGAAGCCACCAAAGTAATGGTAATTAATTTCCCTTCCCTGGGACTGTTAGACCAGAAATCTATGGTCTGTTCTACTACACAATCCCCAGTTTTACTACATGTTATTTTTAAATAACATCTGTTCAAATAATCTACTAAAAATTGACAAAATTATCCATGACTAATATAAAAGTCTTATTTACAAAAACAGTGGATCCTTGTGTTGTCAGTTAAAGCCAAACTCCACACTTACCTTGCTCAGTTGTATTATTGTAGTTGTACTTCTCCTGTGCTGAAATGGCTTAACTCTGATTGCACTGCACACTTTGAGCCTCTCACAGTGTGCACTAGAAGCTTCAGCAAGTCAGATTGAGTCTGCCTCATTTCCTGGATGGAGGGCGTCCAGCATCATACTATACTATCTCTATATACTATACTATAGCTGTACTATACTATCCCTGGCCCACCCCTTTTATTCATTGGATTTCAGTTCTTTCAACCATAGAGGCTCAACATTGCATGCAGACTTTACCTAGGGCAGTCTGCAGACAAATGCAGCCTTCCTAGGAACTCACACTCCTCCAGACTGACATCCACTCATCAAGACATTTTAATATTTGCATAACTCCTCCCAAGATCCAGCCCACTGTTTACTTCAGGGCTGGGGGCTCTTGAGAAAAGTACTGAGACAGGTGCTGTAATGTTTTCAGGAAGCTATATTCAGTACCCTGCTGACACCTCCCACCAGCCATGCTCTGCCTGCATTGCATTAAGAGGCACAGAGACCCTAATAAATAAGGTATATATTGAAAATGGAAAACCATTTATTTACAGATTTATTTAGCATCTTGATGATGGGGAAAGGGGGAACCAGGGAAGGCACTATATAAGTAAATTAAACTTTAGATAGTAAATTTAAAGTAAACTAATACTGACCACTGCAGTTCTGTAAAGAGAATTACTGGATACCACAAATAGTGATGCGTATCATGTAAGGCTGGAATGCCTTGGGCAAAATGATTATACGGAATTCTACTAAACTCCTTTTAATATGTCAGTGCCGTAGTCACATTTTTAGCTCTTTTGCACCATCTAATGGACTTTTTTTCCTGTGACAATCGTCTATTTTTCTTCAGATTTTGAATAAGATATAATATTACAGCACAACTAAGTTCTCATAAATTAAAATAAATATGCACATCATTATTAAGATTATGATGGAATGTACAGCATGCACAGTATTCCATAGAATATATTACCATATATTATTGCTGATATCTTCTGCAGTATTGCTATTGTAAAGTGTATTAAGAAATAATCTTAAAGTATAATTTCACCCAATAATTATCCAATGTACAATAAGTGGCCACATACTATATTTACCTTCATAAATCTTTTGTACCCTGTTTAGTTTTTGTCTGCACTTTGTTTTTTCATCTCTATGACTTCAAAACTCCTGTCTATAATCAATGACACCAAGTAACTAATGCTTCTTCGCATCCAGCGATTGACAGGATAAGGGCAATAAGATTGACAGGATAAGGGCAATATCTATGTGGTCAGTAGATAACCAATGATTACAAAATAATTCCAAAAATAAGAAGGTTTTTATAGCCCTATGTATTGCCATCCTTAGAACTTGTGTCAACGGGCTTTGGGCTTGCATCGATGGTGTCAGTTTGAGACGCTTCTGAGAGCATTCAAAATTAATTGAAAGGTTCATTGGACCTGCTGTTGACCACCTTCTGACCAGCATTTAACTACCTTATGCAGATTTTACTTTCCTGTAGACTTGTTTTGGGATATAAAACCGGCTTGAAACAAAGAAAAGCCCCTCGACACAATCCATTATCAACATTTTGTGTGGGAGGCTTTAGAGAAGCTGCTTGCAGCATCCTTAGATAGAATTAGTGGTGTGTAGGAAGAAGCTCCTAAGGCCAGGACTTTATCTTGGTTATCCTTAGCTGTGATAGGCTTCAGAACCATTTACATTGATGACTGTAACTGTTTCAACATCTTCTAATCCATTTTGTAATTTAGAGTTTTAGCCCCTTTAAGTATATAGACATGTTTGGTATCACAATAGTAATATTTTGTGTTCCATAAATATGGAGAAATGTTTCTGTACATACCATAATGTTTGTGCACATATCATACTATTAGTTTAATTAAAGGGTTTGGGTTAATTTCTCTGATGTTTCTTAACTTCCACACATAAAGTCTTATGCTGCTCTTGCAGGTTGGCCCTCATTTTTTGATGTTGTGAATCCAGAAGCAATAACATATGCTGATGACTTTTCATACGGGATGCACAGAGTAGAAGCAAGCTGCAATCAGGTCAGTACTCAGGTCTTAAAACCGTTTCAAGGTCCATGAAGCGAGATACAAATTTTCATGTGCTGGATGCCTAGAAAATGCATGTAACAGCCATCAATCTGCTTTCAAACAAAGGCTGAAGAAAGCAACATTTTTTTTTAAAATGGAAAAGGTAAAGTTGTCGTCCATTGCACTACTCTGTCTTGATTTTCTACATTTCTATATGAAGCACAGGCACAATCGGTTATCTTTCCTTTTTCACATCAGTAGTTGCAATACAGTTTTTTTATTCTTTGCCTCTTTTATTTATTTGGCTTTAAAGTTAAAAAAAAATGGTTCTGTTTCATCTGGTACAAACCAGTTTTGAAATATACATACCAGTTCCTATGGAATGAAAGATGTACCTTTTTTCTCTTTAAAATGTCGGATGGTATGCAATGCTCAAACATCCTCCCAGGAGCCAATGAGGTATACAATATGTGTGCTCTAAAACATGTAATTAATCATCTGAAAGGAGCAACGCAACTTGTCAACTCCCATAAAAGCCAAACTTTATTTTGCTGATTTCCAACACCAGAATAGCCAAGTAATTTCTAGCTGTGTTGTGTCCATTTCACACTGTGAGTCATGGCAGCCAACCATGGGGCCATGATTAAGGACAAGGTTAAACCCTTGCTAAATAAACGTCCGCTTTTATAGGAATGGACTAGTTGTTCTGATTCTCACTGAAATAACAATGGTGGACAGGCAACTCAAATACTTCCAGACTAAAAGTAAAACAATTCCTAAGTGCATCAGGTTTGATCAGCACTGTCAAAGAGCACCTCTATGTAAGTGTTAAACAAGTGCTGTGAAGAGAATGGCTACGGGACATAGACTATGAACTTGGTTCTTCTAAAAACGCAGGCTTTACTGTATTTGGAAGTGTTGGTCTACTGTTCCATGTGCCTCTTTATGGTTTGGTACAATGGAAAATCACCAAGTATACGCTGTGGTAACAGTCAGTGTGACTGGCTCAATTGTCATTCAGCATCTCAGAACATCACTGTGACATGAGATTTTCTAAAATATTATTACTGTTCATATCATATACTATCCTGTTATAACATTAGAATAACATCAGAATTGTAATAGGAATATATACTAGAGTTGTTTTTGATAATGCAATCAAAGCTTACTTGAACAAAATCCCTTTATGTAGTAAGTGCTGTTTCCATCTGCCCATCACTTTCAACAGCTTTCCCAGTGTGCTTTGCGTCTCTTTCCCTGCAGCTTGTTGTGATGCAATCTCGATTACTCAAGATTACAATCCCATCATGCATTGCTTCCAGTAAGCAATGAGGATGTTACATTGTGGGAATTTCAGACATGGAATTGTAGTTCAGAAGGCAGGCTCTATGAAAGTTGTCACACATGAAGTAGATATTCACAGGGCTGAGTGAAATTGTGTCACTGCATTAAGGAAGAACATACTATGGGCATCTTCAATAAATTAGTTTACAAACTTCTAGATGGATATGGTTATTAGGCGTAATTCAATGTAGTAGTTCAATGTAGTGTTAAACATGTAAACCTGGGGTGTTCTGTAATACAAATATCAACTGATTGGAAGGGCAGCATTCCTTCTACTATTGGTCAGGTGCTCTTCATAATAATGAGTCAAAAACATTTGCATAATACAGCATGTTTGAGGGCCCTAGAAGAATTCTGCAGTGAGCTGAAATTTAATGGAAGCAGTGGGTTAGTATTTTTAACCCCACTACAGTTTAACACTTTTTTAGTGACTATATGCAACACAGGCAGAGCTTATTGATATACTGTAGGACTTAGCTAGGATGAGTGCACATGGCTTCAAATCATTTTTCCAAAAAGAGTAAACCGTTAATAAATGTAAAAAAGAGGGAAAGGTCTACATTCTCTACACATCTCATTTGCAGCATACAACTTTCTGAAACATTACAGGTGCTCTTTTAGTGATATAATTTATTGTATTATTATGCAATGTGTATTTTTAACAACTTTCAAAACTTAAAAATACAGAAATAATTTTCTCTGCTATCAAATTACAAATTTTACTTTGCTCCTTTGTAGTGTGGTGCCCATCTTGGTCATGTGTTCGAGGATGGTCCCCGTCCAACGGGTAAAAGATACTGTATAAATTCAGCATCACTGAACTTCATAGCAGAGGCATCAGGTGGTGCCGAAGGAACTAGCGATTCAGCAGCATCTCCAAAGACGGAACTGTAAAGGCAGACCCAACAATAAAGCTTTCTGATCATCGGATCTGTAGTTTAACAGCCATTATGTGGATTCGACATACTAATCCTTACATTAGGAACAATATTCTTTATTTACATTTACTATCTTCCATACATTATTTTTTGCCTGCAAACATTATTTTTTAATCCACTTGTTATCAAGACTATCACAGATTGTAAAAATATATCTGTATCATAGTTGGAGAATTTAATATGGTATTAATAGATTATTTTTCTTATACAATGGTCCAAAGTGTAAATGTTAGAAAGTTAAAATGAACCATATCATGGTCTCTTTTAAGAAAGAAACAACATTTGTTTTTCTTTATTTTTTAACATCTGACTTTTTTCTTTATCGGACTAATGCTGCTAATGCACAACTGTATGCCATGTTCCATGACACTATGGTGCGCCATTGGTACAGAAATATTGAAAGCATCTCTATAAAAGAAGACCAAAAATTGTGGAAGTGGGGAGGAAGGCTTTGTTATATTGAAGTGTGACATTGTAACATTTTCAATATAGAATGTATTTATTATGGATTCTTTTTTTCTACTTATATATAATTATCATTTAACATTTCTTCACCTATCTGTGTCCTTCCTGCCCTGTAAACATTTTAAAATTAAACTGTGACTGCTGCTGTCTGTGTGGAAGCAGTGGTCTCTCTGCAGCTGTCTGAAAACATAAAATCCCCCCCCCCCCCCACACACACACACTGGGTCAGTCCTACAGCTCTGAAAGCTCTAGCTGTTATTCAGCTGGGGGCATGTCAGAGCACTATAGGGACACTGCTGCTGTCGCACAAATAAGTCATCTTTTTGCAGCATTACAACCGGACGCAGAATTTTGTACTTGTGCTGGAGATTATTTTCCTTTTCTTTGGATGGTAGGACATTTTAAAATGGCTATTTTCAGCACCCTCCATGGAACCATTACTGTTTAGGCAGATTGGTGAATCAGACTGACCTGATTATTATTAATGCACGGAGGAGCAAGATGCAGTTCACAGAAACTTCAGAAGTAATGCTTGCAGGGAAGATTTTTTTAACATAACATAACATGACACCTGAGTCAGAAAAATGCAACTACCTAAGTGTATAGGACATTTACAGGGTTATTCACAAAAGGGTGAAGAGTTTGGAGACGGCAGGAGAAGTGAACAATCTAGGCCACAATAGCTGAACTGAAAAGTGAGCTGAATTGGAGAATGTTTCCAAATCATCTATTTTGTCCTAGATTGTTCACTTCTCCTGTCTTCTCCAAACTCTTCACCCTTTTGTGAATAGCCTTGTTAGTGTTCCATGTACAGGGGCGCTCAGAAAGCAAAGGTATTCCTCAGAGCTGCTTTACAAACATTAGCTCAGCTTTAACTTTTTATTACCAGCACAAGTTCCCTCCCAAAAATGGTAATTAAGACTATATATTTAAATGATATCTATCAACACATCTGATTTGTTTCTCATTTTTTTAGGAGAAAACAAAATGCACTTTTGTTGACTACACAAAGTGCATTTGTATGAAATTTTAGAATAAAATGACATTTTTAATATTAAAAAGTGACATTTATTTAAATGTCCGTCCTTAGGCTTCAACCTAATAAAAATCGGATAATAAAAACCTCTTCTTTATCAGAATACATTCACATAGCTCGTTACACTGATGACATTATATTATGAAATATACAAAACTATTTACTTTTTCAAAATTTGGTCTGCAGCTTTACAATAACCTCAGTCTCAAGGCATTAAAATGCAAACAAATATTCAGACAGCTTTGAATTCAATTGAAAAGTTTATGTATAACTATTTACAACAATGTTAGCTCTAATGAAAATCTTCTGCATAAAATGTGTGCATGTAAGCAAAATACCAAGTGTTTTTATTTTTAGAAGATATATATTTTCTGACTGTTACAAAGATATATATTACTGGAAAAAAAATGAAAATAAAGTTTGGACCTACGTATTTTGCATTGCGCGAATGTTGTACAGTTTTCTGTATAAAAAACGTTTGCATATAATTGACTACATAGCCATATCTTCCTCTATGAGAACCCTTACTGAGGTACTGCTTCACCCACCTATTAAGGGACAGGAAGCAAAGAAAGATTAAGAACACCCTCTCCCCATTAGCCTCTGTGTTTTACCTGTCGCTACTGAAGCGTAAAACAACAGTAACTGCTTACCTGCTTTTTCAATTTGTTATTTGTTATTTTTGGCTTACCTCTGCAGAAAAATGACGATCTACCTGCTGCATTGGAAGTGTGCATTCCCTTTAATGTATTTAGGGTATCTACCCAATTTGCCTCAAGCTACAGAACCTTAGGTCAGGCTTCCGAGAATTGTTGCAGATTACTGGTTGAATGGCAAATGTTACATGTTAAATGTTGAACTGAGGTCTGACAGGAGTGGAACTTAAAGGAGAACTATGAGGTGAGTGATTTTCACTCAACCTCATAGTTCAAGCCGACGTGTGACAATGAAACTGTCACACGTCGGCTCGATAGATCGAGAAGTGAGCGAAAGCTTACTGTCGCTCGCGCACTTTCCGATCATCTCCCTGCAGAGAGCAATGACTGTCACCGCTCCCCACAGGGATTCCTCCCTCCCCACTCCGCTGACTGGAGGAACAGACGGGGAGGGGGCAGGCACAGCTGGCTTTGCCTCTAGATAGGCAGAGCCAGCAGTCACTCACGCAGTTGGGTGGATCTCAACAGCATTGTCGGGATCCGTCCCGGCTGCGGTGCTCTCTGTATATAGCGAGCTGTAGCTCTCTACATACTGCGCTTTGGGTCATATGGTTGGCATATGTCCTCCCGTGACCCTTAAGAGAACTATGGGATAAAAGGTTACCCCATAGTTCTCTTTTAACTCATCCAGCCAACATTAAAATGTGTACATGAGGACCCATTCACATGGCGACACACTTGCTATATGTGCGGTGCATTGAGGTGCCATTATACAGTGAAGTGCCTGTGGACCACAATGCATATACCTTTGTGTTGTGGTGAGCTGCATTGCTAAAAAAGGATGTGCGTTTTTTTATCCATTGTGGTGTGTTGGCAGCCTATTCATAATGAATGGGCTGCCTTAATGCAACGTGCAAGGTAATGTGCTTTAACTTTTAATTTTAATTTTAATCTCTAAAATGTGAATCTTCCCTTAGTTAAATATTATGGTGACTCAATTATTGGGCATGACTTTAAAATGTTGTTATAGTTTTTCAGCTTGAGTATATTTTAAAAAGTTAGAGGTCGAAGAGGTGAAGTAGAGTCTTGGCTCTGTGGAGTCTGTGCAAAAAAAGCTTTCTGTCTTATATAAAACACCACATCTAAAGATAGGGTCATAGAGGAGAGTTCCAACGTACATGTAAAAACACAATGCATCTTTAAACTTGCTAGAAAATGTGACTACTCCAGGAAGAGTCAACACAGCACCCCTTTCTCCTTGCACATCATAGTTCTATCCTCTTCTGGCAGTGTCCAATTACTCTCTGTGCTGGCCCAGCTCTTCCACCCCTCACCTCCCTACACAACCTTTTCTTTAGCAGCCGGGATAGAAGCAAAGGGGAATAGTATAGCATGTGACTTGAGTGAAAGCTCTGAGTTTGCCGGGGCTGTTGACATCACATCTAAGATGGCAGTGCCCAGCATCAGCATGTCCAGGGTGACAAGTAAGGTTTTAAAAGGTAAAAATATCATGGGAATTTTTTTTATAAATGAATGGTCTGGTGACAGTCTCTTTAACGAGTTTAGGGATTCAAACTCTCAGCTTGATCATTTTGTCTCTGCAAGTCAGGTTCTGTCAAGTCAGGTTCCAATGCTTTTGACATAATGGAGGAAGATTCAGACTTTCAGTTAAAGATACAGATGTTCTGTGGTTTGTCAGGCCTACTCTAAATGCACAAAAGGCAAGAATTTCACAGACTGTACAAGATGAAATCAACACTGCTTCTACTCTGGAGGCATATATAGGCACACTGGGGTTGACTTACTAAAGGCAAATAGGCTGTTCACTTTGCAAAAGAATGTTCACTTGCTCTGCTGACCTCCAAAATCCAATCATGTGTAAGCAAAAATACAGTTTTGTTTTATTATTTTCCTTGTACATGATCGGATATTCTTTGCAAAGTAATTTTCCAAATTATCATTAAGCTATGGTAAACTTTCCTTGCAAAGTTAACAGCCTATTTACCTTTAGTAAATTGATCCCAATGCCAAATTTGGGAAGGCGTTTTTGGCTTTGCTTTTACCCCAGTTTACTCAATCACAATAATACTAAAAATGCTTTTTTTACTTTCATAAGATATCCTCTCATTTTGTGTCATGTCTTCAAGACAGAAAATGATGGGAGATCTGTTCAGTGGGAAACAGGCAGATGGTAAAACAAAATTCCCTACACTATTCAAAACTAAGAAAAAAGATTTGGCTTCAAACAATATACCTAGGAGTGTGAAAATTTGAGAAAATATATGGTTTGGGGGATCTTTTACAAACGCTAGCAACGCAGCAATAGAAAATCAAAACAATGGGGAAAATTGCAAAAATGGTGTGGCCAACTGAGGTTAAACGCATTCCGGAGGGCTTGGCAGCGAAAGGGTTCACATTAATTAGTTGCTGTGATTTATGCGATTTTCCAATTTAAAAAAAAGGACAGAACCATTCAAAATTAAATTAGAATAGAAAATATATTTGAAAAATACATTTTAAATAATTAGTATAATAAAAACATGTTCCAAACTAATCAGCTGCAAATTGCATGAGTGCATTTGTAAAAGGTTGGTAGATATTTTACCAGCAACTTATACAAACAATTTTGTAGGTCTAGCAAGAAAAGTCTGTCTCAGTCCATGTTTTGCTTTTCTATACAGAGGAAAGCAAACTGGCTAATACATTCTCAGCCTTCCCCATGTTACGGAGACTGAGTGGTCCTTTGTAGACCTGTGTTAGGTTAACAACGCTTCTTTTGCATACAGTGTAGTTAGTGAACTTTATTACCCTAAGATAGGAAGTTTGTTACTGGCAGGACCACCAAGCAAACAAAGGAAAAAAAGCCAGAAAAAAATAAAATATATATACATTTAGTACTATATAAAATGTTTGTTTTAGATGTACTTTAACGACAGAGTAGACCACATTTAAGTAAACAAGACTTGTCTTTCCACCAATCCAATTTCCACTCTATCCAATGGATTTCTTCCCTTACAGCTCTTTGAAACAATGCTTTATTCCTCCTGAAAAGTGATGGAATTAAAAGCAATTATTTAATAGAGTAACGCAAAGAAAGTCTGAAACGCAATACATCATTGCTTGTTCTACAAATATACTTCAAAATGATCTGGACGGTTTGTTGATACCCCGAGAAAAAAGTATAAATAATTGGATCATAGTGATATTTCAAACTATTTTCTGTCATTTGTATCACAGATGTCTCCGATCATGTAATCAACCAGTCAACCTATTTCAATGGAGAAAAGTAGTCACTATGCTGTTTGGTATTATTGTGTGCACCACACTGAAC